TATTAGTTGTACAGTATGAGGGTGTGAAAAGCTTATGAATTTAAAAATCCACCAATGTAAAAATAACCACAGTTTTTAAAACATTGTACCCGCAAAACGTCAAAATAACCACAAATGTAAAAATAACCAAAATGTAAAAAATCGACACAAGCGTATCAATCAGTTTAACCTAAAATGTAAACATATTTTGCTTACAAATGTAACCTTTTTCATTTTTACCTCAAATCAGGGTGATCATTTCTGATTGAATCACTTCACTAACCCGCCTCAGTGGTCTATCGGTGTGACATTTGCCTTGACATAATTAATTATGAAACCATAAAAAAAAAAATACGCTACCTGTGTACCTGATAGATCTCATCCACCTCCGCTCAGCAACTTGCACTGGAAGTATCCGTTCTACATAAAGTCAATCTACCTTAGCCAGCATTCCGTTCCAAATTTGGAAAGAGATCTTTTTAGGTTTCAGCTCCTAAACTATGGAATTCGCTCCCTCTTTTTTATTTGAAATGCATCCTCTATCTCCATACTTAAACGAAGACTAAAGATCTATATCTTTTTATGAACTTTTAATTTCTGTTTTTTTTTTCCCTTCTTATTTTTTTTCATAGAATAGTCTACTAGATGCCATCATCATTTGAGCATTTGTGAGTCATGATTTTGCGAACTGTTCCTTGTTAGTGGTCCTAAATTGCAAGAAACCGAAGCAATGGTGATGGTTCCTCTGCAAATAGTTTGTTCTATTGATTTCTGAGTTCCATGGTAGTCCTAGTTTATTAAAAACAAAAATTTTTCTTGTTTTGTTTTGTGTGACATCAGCGCATTGAGACCATGTATTATGCGCTATACAAATCCCCAATTTTTACACTATTACTAACAGTATTTTGTGAAATACCCTTTTTTTGTAAGAACACATTTTATGAGAACACTGAGGCTTAAATTGCTTAGAAAAAATATAACAAAATAAGAACAAATCGAGGCTGAGGAAAAATGTCAAATGAGGTTTTTTTTAATTATTTTTTAAAAATAGAAAACCAACAAATCTTTATATGTACCTTGTTTGCAGTAGGTGTGACCGTGTGATACCCTCTATAAAACAAATCAGTAATATGCTGCTATATAATAATATTTTTCTATGTTTGAAAATTGTGTACGAATAAGAACAAAACAAGAACATGTTAAGTCTGAAATGGAAAAAAAAAAAAAAAAAAAAAATACTGGTTCTAGCTATATAATTAAATTCCAAATACAGACCATAAAAATTTAAAATACCCACACAAGTCTACCAATATTGATTAGAATTCTAAATCAATGATAATGAACACATGCGCTTGTAATTAACTAAAAGCAAATTTGAATTTATCTGCACTTCTTTAATTTGACAACTAATTCACCGACATGTTTCTAGAAAATTATTTTACGATCAATACAATAAATTTGTGCTTATCACACGCTGTACCACTACGTCGTGTTCTGCTATATAATCAGCATCATATTGAAACGAGCTCCATTCTGTTACGCTTATGAATTCAGCGCTCCATGCTTTTTGATGCTTAAAAGTGTAAGTATATAAACACTTTTTTAAAAGTTAAAAGCAATGCGTTTTTAGGGGCACGGCTATACATTAATAAGGTTAGTCCTGTAAACCGTAGGCCTACTTTTTGGAGCAGATAGCCCAACGGCTCTGGTTCGGGTTCTCAACATTGAAAATGGTGTGCATTTGCTTGTGTACTTAGCAACGCACTTTTCATGCATTTTTATCTCACCCCAAAGAATATTACTCAAATATTAATTTCCTAAAACTAAGTTATGTTGTTGATTGATTAAGTAATCGATGCAGTAGGAAGCGATTTGGCCGGACCAGTTATGGCCAGACCAATATTATCACCAATCAATTTCGTTCCTAGGTTAAATTGTCTATTTGATACAACGTTGTTTCTTTTTTTACAATTATAGTATGGCCTTCAAGCATGGAACATGGAGGTTTAGTTATTTCCTCCATGTGTACATCAGACCCGTCACTAGGAAGGGGGGGAGGGGGTTCAGCTGAACCCACCTTTTTGATCAGTTTACTACTGTGATAGTATTGTATCATAACTTTGTTTATGTAAGAAACATTTCTGTGTTAAACTATAGGCAACCCACCCCTCCCCTCCCCCTCCTTCGCATGGATCTGGTTACGGGCCTGTACACCAAGACAAGTACACACACAGGCCCATAGGAAGCAGTTTGTTATTGAACCCGGGGCCCTGGGAGTGGAAGCCAGCATTTTAACGACCAGTGCCACTCCAGTATGAGTTATTTAAAACTATTGTGTATATTCAATCCAAATTCACGTCAGGTCTGTGCGAATTTAAGGAAGTTTCTGAATCCATAAAGTATTCTTTTGAAGTATAGGCCTACTGTATTTGAAAAGTCCAACGAAAAACTAGAAATTATTTTAAGATTCTGTTGTTGCGTGCTCGGTAATGAATTTGAAAGAATTCATTAATATTCTTGATTTCAATCTTTTCAGTGGGTGTGTGTGTGTGTGTGTGCGTGTGGGTGTGCGCGTGTGTGTGTGTGTGTGGTTATAGGCAATGGATATACAATATTATACACACAATATTACATAGCAAACCTAATAAAATAGAAAGTTTAAGAAAACATTTCACAAAGTACTGTAAAATTAATAACATTTTTTTCAGTGGAGTGGATCCCGGTCACCAATTCCATCGTGGGATTTTAGATGTGCATTGTTATTCTAAATGTTTTTAACGACAAATAAATAATATAATATGGATCCAGGAAGTTGAGGCCAGGGGGGGGGGACTTTCACAGTTGGAGAGTCTATACCACCTCAGACCCACCTTGGTTGCGGCTGAGGTAAGAAAATATATGAATATGGCACCTTTGGATGGCCAGAAATGGTACTTCACAGACATAAAATTGTGAATATAATTTTCTTTTTATCTCCAGTTAAAAAATATTTTGACAAATTTAGTGGGGCCCTGTGCCGGCAGCTTCCCATCCCCCGCTCTTTATTCCGCCATTGGAATAATATATGTCCTACAGTAGATTTCAGACACACATTATGCCGTTGCACCGGAAATGGCACTCACAGACTTAAAATTGGGAATATAATTTTCTTTTTATCTCCATTTAAAAAAAATTTGTTTGACAAATTTGGTGGGGTCCCGGGCCGAGAGGGGGCTCCGTCGGGCCGACGGTCCCCCTCTCATTAATCGTTATAATATGATATATGCCATAGAGTCGATTTCAGAGACACATTATGGTGTTATTTATCAAAGTCCTTTTTGGTCAGGGTGCTAGATCGAGGAACCTATCGGTAGGGCCCCTTCGGGTCCCCTAGAATTTGGGGCCATGCGGACCGCCGCATGAGAGCGCATAGGCGTTACGCCACTGATATTTTTTAATAATCTTGATTTTTAGGCCTACATCGTTAGCACATAAGAAAGACGTTGAAGTGTACAATAAATGCTAGTTTTCTGTACTACTCTTAGTAATATTCAAGACTACATTTTGCCCCACAGTACATACTCGATTTAATTCCAGAATACCACCCAAAACGATCTCTCAGATCGTCATTAAAGTGCCTTCTTGAAGTTAAAAAAATTCTAAACGCAGACGTACAGGTTGTTGTTCCTTCTCTGATGCTTCCTCAGATTTATGGAATAATTTACTACATGCAATAAAAGACGCCAGCTCAATCGACATATTTAAATCTCGTTTAAAAACATTTCTTTTTGAATCTGATCAATTTATCTTTGAATACGATTAGTTTAACTTGCAATGGTTTATGTCGGTAGTAAAACAATAAAATAGCTCTGAAACCTAGAAATACCATGATGGTTTCGAGCGGAAGATATTTTTTTAAACCAAAAGTAGTTAAGTGTTGCTTAAGGTAGTTAAGAAGCGTAGCTTAACTAAACTCCATCCAGTCGGCGACTAATCCGACAATCCCACTCAGATGTCTTAATGGCTGCTGAGGGGAGGGTGCCATGGTCACCCAGCAGCAAGAAAACCCAACAGCTGAACAAAGGGCGGATGAGTTCTTCGGCGTCAACAGCCAAACATAACTTAGTTAAGGAGTAGGAGTATATTTAGCCACATATTATTTTGATATTTATATCTTTAAACTTATTTTTTCATTGTGATGCACATAGAGGTCATGACAATATGCGTATTATAAGTCCACCATTATTATTATTATTATTATTATTATTATTATTATTATTATTATTATTATTATTATTACGTCTCATGTTCTGCAACCTCAACAGAATAATAGTGTCGCACGGCACTGTATAATGTTGAGCAGTGGCACCAGATTGCAAAATCTAGCCTCCAATCAGGGTGTCTTTAGATGTGTTGCGACTTCACCTATTGTTTGTAATGTAAGTTTGTTTCCATCAATTATATATTTATCAGATCTTGTCTTGTAAAGTCAACTTAAGTTAAATACACTATTGAAAGTTATCTAAACCGGTATATAACATATGTGGAAGTCTCATCTTATCAATCAGTGTTGGCAAAGTGAGATTAGAAACGATTCAGACACATCTTTAATTAAGTGGGAGGAGATATTAAGTTAACGGTAGTAAATCTTTACACTGTTTATAGTTTCATTTTTTGTTTATTGTTCAAATTTTGTATATACAGTATAAAAATAAGGATCAAAAATTGGCTTGCTGACTATTACCAGCCCAATTAACGTTGCTTAGATAATGGTTTTCTGTTTAAATGTCTTAATCCTTAATATACTCTAATTGGTATTGGTAATTAATATATTGTAATTGTCTTAATCCTTGTTTTATTGTCCGTGGATGCGCAAAGAATACGTGCATCTCACATTGTTGTACCGCTCTAGTAAATTTGACTCCGGCGTAATTATTGGTAATCTTTTTTTTTCAATGGTGGGGGCTCAGCCTATGAATAGGTGACCGATGAGATGCCCGTTGGGACTTTTGGGGTGCTAAGACCCCTCTGGCCTGACCAATAACAGACTGCTTCCTACGGACCTTTGTAGTTAAGTGGTTGTAGTAAGTAAAAACAAATTGTAAATCCTGGACCCCGAAACCTTAACCACAGAAATAACGGGATGGTGTAAGACGGAGGATAGTTTGGTTGGTTTTTCTCTTTGTTGTGTTCGTTTTTGATTCTTAGCTTTTGTTTGTCCTTGTATAATTTGTATGCAGTTTTACTCAATTTCAAGTAGGCCTACTTTTGCTATATATTACTGTTTGTTTTCATGTAAATTTGCCGAATTAATACATAGAAACAATCGCTGTATAAATACGATGGGGCTATTATTTTTCTTATTTCTTGTTAATGATACTTGATTTTATGATAGGATGGCACCAATGCATTTGGCTCTGCGCAATTGACCGTTCCAGGAAACGCACGTACATTTACGCTATTGCTTTGTGGGAAGCAACAATATCCAAGGAGAGGGGCTTTTTAGCAGAAAGGTCCATTGTCTAAGCTATGCTCCCGATGAAGAGAGAAGGTTGTGCGTAATTTTGTGTAGTAATTTTTCATATGCTTTTTTGCTTAGATACGCCTTTGTCTTATGAGGAATTATGGCGACGATGGTTAGAATATCCGTCTTAATCATTCTTTGTTTGATTTGCGCCAACATTTATGCAAAAGGTAAGACAGCTTTTAGAGTTAATCTCTGTCCAGACTACCAAACATTGTTTGACAAAAACATGTGACATGCCTAAATAATTATGGTTATTATGACATCACAAAAATTGAACTTGAACATATATAGGTACATTATGACTGTCTATGGGCGTACAACAGTTTTTGTCAGACAATTTGACAGTCTAGACCGAGCTTAATATAATATTTCATTGAATGCATTGTACAACGTGAATGTGGTCTAAACTGTAACAAAATGTGTTTGTTTTTTATTGTGGAATTTTACAATATTATCTTGTTAATAAGTGTCTACATTTAATGTGGACTATTTTATTAAAAATATGTTTTTGTAATTTAACGGTATATGTCAACAATGTTTAATGTGGTGTGATGAACAGTCTGATTATCTAGACGACAAACTGACAACTGTCTATAACCATCTATAAATGTGGTCAAAGGAATAACGATGGCAGACTGACCGATCAACCGACTGATTAAAAAACTATGTGCCTGAATATTAAGTAATTAACCATCTAACCACCTACCTACCGATAAACTAACTAGTAAACTAAATAACTCTCTAACCATGAAGGTAGTGCTGGTCGTCCCCGCTGCGATTGTTTTTATCCGTACGGAATATTTGCATGAAACTCCACTCGGTCCGTCTCGGATTGATTCGACTCGAGTTCGATTTAAATTATTCAGAAGAGCAGGCACTTCGCAATGAGTATCACCATACTGTACTGTTCTTTCAATATGTTCACCTACGGTAGGCGTATGAAATCTTACCGATTTAAGGGATACGTCTGTAACTAATTATGAACTACTTGTTTGTCATTAAATGTTAGTATACTACCTAACAACAACAACAACAGTCCCCTTGTATAAAGTGTAGTACCAGTAGTAGATAGGTACTATCAAAGGCTAGAGAAAAAGAGGCTATATTAGGCCTAACTACAGGCTGAGTGTGGTCCTACCCAGGTCTCTCCCTAGACTGAGCATAGGCCTTGCTAAGGTCCTAGACCTGACACAACAGTCACGGCTTCACATGACATTGATATTTTGAAAAAAAATTGGATAAAAGTTAAAGCATAAAATTAAATATGGGACAGTGCGTAAGAAAAATATGATTAAATAATAATAAATTAAACATGTCATTACGTCATTATTGAACTTGGCCTAAGCCTTGTAATGTAATTAATATTTAATCATAATAATAATATTAATATTAACAATAATAATACTACTAATAATAATAACAATAATATATAAATAAATAATAAAAATAGATTCATAATAACATTAATGATGATAATAATAAGAACAACAATAATAATAATAATAATGATAATAATAATAATAATAATAATAATAATAATAATAATAATAATAATAATAATAATAATAATAATATATCATTTCGGCATTAATTAACTTGGCCTAAGCCTTAATCAAGAACTCACAGTACAATAGTATTTAATAGGCCTGTAACAATTAGCGCCTCATTCATTCATTTATTCATTCATTGGTGCTCTGCTATTTTGGCAGGTCTTATGGCATCCAGTATTGTAGAGCTGTCTATTCTCAGCTTTCTTTTAATTTGAAAATAACTGTCACCTTGTTTCATTTGATCAAGTAATGCTGTTTTCCTTGCCTTTGTGCTTTCCCCTGAAAGCGGACTTCTAAACGGTGATCACAAATCATAATTATTATACAGTACGCAAAAGTCAACAATTTAGTAAAATAAATGTAATCTACAGCTAACATTGCAAAATAAATTATGGAAATGAAGAAAATCCACTCCACAAAAGTAAACTGTAAATTACGAAAAATAAATATAAAATATTAATAAAAGAAAACAAGAAAACATTAAATTAGTGATTTATACAATGTTTATACTATTATACTTTGTTTTCATTAATTATTAATACATATGTGGTTCTTGAAAATACTTTTTTTTAATTAGTCTGATGCTTTCAGGTTGCCTTGACGGGTACCCAGCTAGTATGTATGTATGTATGTATGTATGAAGTGGGGGGCCCCGGGCCCCCGCCCCCCCCCCCCACCCGGTTCCGCCGGCCATGGTGAATACATACAGGCAAAACTTACAGACGCTGCGCTGTTTGGGAGGTCTTGCTTCTTTGCTTATATATGTGTATATGGCTAATTTTACGTCAACAACTTTTATATATACATGTGAGCAAACTTACTAAAGTACTTTTTGTCACTGCTGTTCGGGAAATCTTTTCTAAATTTGTGAGTATGAATTTTTTTTTTGGTATATTCGTTTATCTCATCATTGAATTCAGTGTATTGTGTTTCTATGTTTTCTTTTCTTATTTGACTGTGTTCACTTTTTAATGGTTTTTCTTTGTGTGTAATTTGTCTCAAAATTAATTATTTATGTGGAGCCACTGGCAGAAACGTGAAACGGGGCTGCGTGATCAGTGAAAGTGAAGAGGAATGGGAAGAGTGTGAAACCGAGGCTGGTATGTCTCAGGAGCATTATCATCATTATTACTATTACTGGCATACTTGTCATGATGCTTTTTGTTGATAGGTAGGTCTTATAATAATGAAATATTAACATTTGTGAGCAATATAGTTTTGTTTTTAAATTAGATTATTTTAATGAACTGGAGAATTGTTGGGTTTTCAAAATTCTAGTTGTTTCTTGCTCTTTTTTGTATATTTTGTAGACGGGTTGTGACATGGTTGACATTCAGTGAACAAGGTCTAGAGCCATAATTAGGTGTTTAGACAAATGATTTGCAGGACTATGAGCCCAATCACACTTACTAGGCCGGCCTAGGGTCGGCCCAGGGCCGCCTTAAATATGGCCGACTCAGGGCCGACTCAAACGAATATTCCCGTTCACAGTTATTTTTTTAGGTCGGCCCAGGGCCGGGTCGAAGAATTGCAGGACGGGAAGTTCGAGACGATCGCATTACATGATGGTGGAACGGTAAATCACAACCTAACACATGGAATTCGAGCAAAACATGAACCTAATTTCAAATGTTGTCCTTATAATTTTTCGATTTTTTTAAGCGTAGCATTCTGCTTCATGATTATGGCGACGATAATTATTATAATAACCAAGACCTATAATTAGCGCAGCTCGAATTTACTCTGCGCAAAACCAGACTTGCGATTTCGAAAGTCCATACCTGTATATTGTAAACTGTATAGGCCTACTGAAGGTTGCTGTCAATGTTTGGACACAGATTGTGAATAAGTAGAATCGAGATTTATCTATTTGGCAATAATAAATATTTTCATATTAGGTTCATTCACAAAAATTTTGACGCTTTTTAAAACCAGCTTCGCTCATTAAAACAATAACAAACGCTTATTTTTTTCCGGTCCTCGGGGTCACGTGAGTAGCTTCACGAACGTCGACACAAAACGAACGTGGTTGGTGACGATGACCAACCACGAAGAATGATACCGCTATACAGTGTTATGATTTTAAAATACAAACTTGTGAAATTAATGTGTGCTATACAAAAAACGGCGTTTCTTGAACTTGTAGTAGCCCTATATATTTTTTCTCTACTGGAATTCAACTGTAGAAAAGAAAGTCAAGCGTACGTCATCTGCCAAACTGCCCATGCGTAAGCTTTGTAGCACGTGATATTTCCATCTCCATGTTTACAACTGGGTCCGTACGGACGGAGGCTGTGAGTAACAATTAGTTAGGCATGGAGACCTTATATATATAACAACTTTTGTTCAATAACAATAGTTCAACTAAATACAATTTACTCTAGTTTCCTTAACAATTTATTTCTCAATGGTGTTTTTTTCGCGAAAGTCAGTGCGAATGAATGTTGTGAGATAAGACGTCAAAATCGACTGCAATCAGAGCGAACTTGGGCCGGCTCAGGTTCGGCTTACGTTCAGATATACAGTTGCGAATGAATGTTGTGAGATAAGACGTCAAAATCGACCGCAATCAGAGCGAACTTGTGGGCCGGCTCAGGTTCGGCTTACGTTCAGATATAATGGGTCGGCCCAGGTCCCACGTTACGGGACCTGAGCCGACTCAAAAGTCGGACTAAAGTTAGGTCGGCTCAGGGCCGGCTTAACATTTATTGATTGTTCACACTTTAATATTAATGTGGTGGTGGTGTTCATAAGTAAAAATTACTGATTAAACAGAGGAAGGCATAACACTCAGTGTAGTAGCCACACGCCAAGGGCAGGCCTGGAAAATAACGAAATATCGGGCAATGCAATCATAATTATAGTGTAAACACAAGACTTCACTTCGAATACAAATTAATTGTATCTAACTTCTTCAAAAACCAACAATATCAATAAAATCATCAATTGGTTAATATATAGAAGGCACACATTTTTATTAATTGGATTATAGATTGATGCAATATACTGTTCAAGATTGAATAGCAAGCTCACAGAACACCAGCGACGTCACAAACCATGTAAAGTGTATAAAGTATGCAAAAAAAGTGCATGAAGAAACAACTGGAATTTTGAAAACCTAATTATCCAGTGCATTAAAATATTCCATATATTTAATATTTACATTACCTATATAAAATATACATAATTGTTCACAAAATACTAATATTTCATTATTTTAAAGCCCCATTCCCGGCAAAATTTCACTAAAAACTGACTTTTTTTAGAAAATATGCATTTGCATTACTCCAATTTTTATAAATCATGGAAAAATATTGGCATGAATTTTAGTTTTACGCAAAAGAANNNNTTATTTTACATTTTTTTCATTCTTAGGAATGTCTAAATTCATTTAAACTAGCAATTCCGTATTATATTTATAAATCTTTATAACATTATACAAAAATTAGATTTTTCTTAAAAACTGAAATTTTGCCGCGAATGGGGCTTTAAGATCTACCTTGGGTTTAACCCAGTTCAACACAGGAGAGATACGATTTATCAAATCATGCTTTTTTCAATATACTTCTGAGCATGTGGCAGAACTTGCCTAAGGACAAAAACATGCGCTAACCACAGATCACCTCTGCAGTGCGCGATCAGCGAGCTTATTATCCTGGTACAATTAAAAGTCATTGGTACTAGTATTTTGTAATAATTGTAATACCAATTGCACACAAGGACGTATCCGGCGGTGGGGGGGGGGGAGCCTTTGTACACAGTGTTAAATTTTAAAGCTTTTTTTTGAGCCAATACAAATTATTTCCTGGGACCACTCAAAATGAATACTTCTAAAATACGTAAAAATGCATCAGTACTCGTTTTACACAGGCCTGGCCTACTATAATTATAACACATGTCTAAGCGTGATTTTTAAAAATCCATAAATCCCAGGCCAAGTCTTTAAAGATACAGAAATGTGATACTGTATGGCTCAGTTTGGTTTTTATCCTTTTGCAAGCTTCAAGTAGGGCCTATTGTTTAAAAATACTATACTATTAGTAATAATAATAATAATAATAATAATAATAATAATAATAATAATAGTAATGGTAATAGTAATAATAATAATAATAGTAATAGTAATAATAGTAATGATGATGATGATGACGATGATGATGATGATTATGATGATGATTGATAGTAATATTAATAATATTAAAATGTGAAGGAAATTGTGCTAAAGGCGAAAAATAAAGTTGTGATTTGTTGATGATAGTTATAAGCTTATATATTAAATTATAGTTAGGTCAATTTGTCCTGGATATCAAGTAGATCTCTGATAAAGTACATGAGAAATGTGTTGGCGTTTCATTTTGACTACTGTATGTAATGGTGATGTCATGATGATGAATTTTACTATGTGAAAGTGTGATTTCCGGCCATCTAGAGGTAATATTTCCTCAAATTTTCTCACCTCATCC